CGTGTTCTCGGCGGCTATAGTGAGCCTTGACCATCCAGACGTCTCTGAAAACGTCGGAGCGCTATTGCAATTATGTGATCTCTTGATAAATGGAGCAGATAAAACTAAGTAGCTGCCGCCATTATTGGAAACTGGAATTGGCTGGGCCACGCTATGCATTCTGGGATAGGTTGGGCCAAGAAGGATACACCCGGCCCATCCTTCAAATCCGGGGAAATGAAGGACGCATTTGTCGGCCGCATTTGGAGCAGCCTTCGAATTTGGACAGCCTTCGTCGCCTGGCTGTGATGTAATCGGCCTTTAATAGTGGCCTACCAACGATGCGGCCTAGGAATTGGGACACAGCTGTTGTGTAGCTTTGCTCATGCGTAGGAAAGGTTAAACCTGCAGTGGGTTAGAGGTTTGATGCTTTGCTGATGACGTGAAAGTTACCTTGTGAAAACCTTGTAAAACTTCCAGTTCAGTGTAAGAAATTTGACAAATATATCCATAACTGATGGACAAGTACAAAGAAGTCTAACATATGGTTGACAGTAGATGAATTTCCCTCGTTTAGAAGGGCTACAGGTCTTTATAAAATCAATAACCAACCAATAACAGCCCAGAGAGTCATCATTGCTTCTTGCTATAACATCTGTATCTATACCTGGAACTTAATGGAAATACTATTTGAAGTCAGCACATTTCTGGTTTGAGTAAGTGCTAGTTTCCCTCCCCTTTTGCTTAGTGACATGCCTGCCATATGGAAATTAAGTTCACTTCAACATGATAGAAATCAGAAAGGTGAACTCACACATGGTTTTATTAACAGTCTGAAGATTCAAGGCAAAAGATCAGTGGGGTTTTTTTTCTTCAATGGTATAAAAAAAAAAAAGAGAGAAAAAGGTTTTTAATCACAGTAATTTTGCCTTGTAAAAGTAGCTTTCATAAAGGTAATCCTATCAAATAGGTCTGGCTCTCTTCTTGTTGACATGTCACGGCAAGAATTTAATTAAATGTTAATAAGAGAGAGTCTGTGGGCTTTTGTGTCCTATTACCTTCATACTTATTGCTTGGTTCAGAGCCTTTCAGTTCCACTTACAAATTAAAAGTAGATTACTATGTGTAGCGGCCAAGAAACCCACAGACCTCTTATATTATGTGTACAGTTTAACTGAAAACAACTCTGCAGCAGCCTCTATAAGCATTAATGAGTGAATTAATTAGTAGAAAAAGGAACTTCACACTGCGTGGTAACTTGTTTCTGTGCAGTGGAGGTACAGTGGATAACTCATTCATCCTTTTTGAGTCCCAGAAAACAAGTGACTGAAGATGATAGATTATTTGCTTTGTGATAGGAGCGTGAGGAGATAGAAAAAAAATGCCATGGTAATGATTAGTGACTTAATGGATGGGAAATTATGCAGATAGCGTTTTGTTGCTTTTGTGCTGGGTAAGTGAATAATATCTTAAAATACTGTGGGAAGGTTTCCGTCTGCTGATTGAGCTGCAGGGCGAGGCCTCTCTAATCAAAAAAGCTATGAGGAGCTATGAAGACAGCACAGACAGTGCAGGTTTCAAATCCACCAGCCTGCCGGGGCTTTTCCGTGCAGAGCTTCCTTGTTCTCCCTGTGCCTGCATGGGTAACACAGCTTCCTCTCACAGTCAAAGACATGCATGCTAGATTAACTGGTATTTCTAAATTGACTGAAGGTGTGAGTGTGTGACACTATGACAGCTGGGATGAGCTCTAGCCCTTCCCCTGCTACTCTGAGTTGGATAGAATTACAACAATTTCAGAGAACAAATTTCTGGAATAAGGCCTGCTTTGAAACTGTGGCTGCTTTGGCTGCAAAAGACTTCTGGTCCTGTCAAAGTCTAAAGGAAAACGGCTCTTGAACTTGACTTTGACTTCCATAAGCACTTTCATGATGAGTTCATGGACTCAGTCACTCGGTTTGGATTGCACTGAATAAAATCCAGCCAATTTTGTAAATTCTGCTTAATTCTGTGTTTGGGAAAGGAGGGTTATCAAGTTTATCTCCACTGGTTAATGACCATAGATAATATAAAATATGGATGCAGCTACTGTGAGCTCACCCATTGGTTTCTGATGTCTCATTCTTAAGCCTCGGGCGACAAAGAAGGGATGGTCTGACTGTGAAACCACATGCTCATTGGCTAACAGCTTGTAGTTTGCCAATTAAATTAAATTAAATTTGAGGATATAATTTGAAGCTGATAAAAACCCAGAGAATGTACCACTCTCTTTAAAACTAAGTGAGAATCCTTTAGAAATGCCTCTGTAGTGCATACAGGATGAAATTGTAAACAGTTTCACAGTTTTACAGTTCGACTCTACAGTACTGATCTTTTATTTGCATCAGGTTCTTTGGCTCTACTTCAGCCTCCTTTGTTTTCCTCTCGAGAGGTTCAATGTGATTAAGAGTAGTTGAGCAGGTAGAGTTGAGCCCTTCTGAATTTTCTACATTTGACCTGTTCCTCTATAAAAGCCTTTTTATACCAGTTAAATTCAGATCTTTTGCTATGTTAGAATAATTATCTGATCAGCAGCCTTTTCCACTTTCTTCAACCTGTTTTGTTTGTTTGTGTCATGTTGTCAGATGACCTTTTGTCAGCTTCGGCAATGGATGGCATTTATTTTTCTGACCAAATGCCAGCTCGTCTGTGATAATAGGCACTGTCACGTGCGCTGTCACGGCTGCACAGAAAAAAAAAACCCTGTGCCTGCTGCACTCTGCCTCTTTAGCCGCCAACATCAATCCACAGAAGTTTAAGAAAGTTTCCCAGTGTTGATTTTGTATGAATCTCCTAATCTTCATTAAGCCACAATCCATAACATCTCATTAGAAAAATCCTCAATTGAGGCTGAAGCTGAAGTTGCTATTGAAGCTTGAAGCTTTGGCAGAAAACCCAACAAAACAATCTGTGGTTAGAAGGATCAGTAAGGGGTTTAGAAAACAAATTAAATCATGGAAATTGCTATATACACTATTCAAGGGAGAAAAATCGTTTCCTCTGCTTGGCTGGTCGGCAGCTGAAGCCTAGGAGCCGAGCGGTATAGAAAATAAACACCATAAATCAAGATGGCCTGATGCCCACTCTGCTGTCCAACACTCCCGCCAAGACAGGCTCCTCTGATGCCCACTTTCCTCCATACCAGCTATTCACACAGACAGATAGGAAGAGTTATAGCTGCTGACGGCAGCCATGGCTGTCAAAACCATCACTTCATCACAACAACCACAAGCAAGGGATCGAGCGAGGACGACACCTCTTCGCTCAACCTTTATACATCAGATAAAAATGGTGCTTTTATTAAAAATGAGATATGGTTTATCTCAGTTTGCTATGTTTGGTAATTATGTAGTTATCGAAAAATTTATCAATGCCACTGCGGCGGTCCCTGCAAGCATTTTCACAGTATTCTCACAGCTACAACATTAATATACAAGGAAATACAAGGCTATAGAGATACACGATATAAAGATTTTTTAGGGATGTGTAAAATATAATCAAAAATTTTGTAATTAAGAACAAAAATAGGAAAAGCTGCGTTTTTTTTTTTTATCGGTCATTTGGAAAATCTGCAGGAAGAGTTGAGCTGAATTGACAGAAGCTCAATGGAAAGACACAGGAGTTAATTAGTGAGAAAAGCAGTATTTAAGAAACTTCCAACAATTGAGAGACAAGTATGGTGAACTCCTGAAGGTATGCCCTGAATTTACCAGGAAAACAGCTGGATGTGGAAGGTAAAACCTGCATTCCCAGCAAACAGCAAGAAAATGAGATGAGAAAAACGGGAGCACCTCAGAAAACAAAGGATTTACAGTGCAGTATATTAAAATTTACCCAGGAATAGGAGGAAATAAAAAGTAAAGGTCTGCTCTAATATTAGCATTTTTTAATATGTTGGGGTTTTTTAACACTAAAGGCCACCAAGGGAGAAAATACTACTTCGTGCCCTCGAAATACTTATTTGTGGCCACGAAATACTATTTCGAGGGCACGAAATAAGTATAACGTGCGCACGAAATGCTAATTTGTGTGCACGAATTGTGTATAACGTGGCAACGAGTTACGCATTTGTGGCAACGAAATACATAACGTGTGCACACCATATTGATACAATTCCTGGACAGCTGCGTAGAGACATAAGCATAAGAGACGGTATGATTGAGTTTTATTTTAGACGTAAGTACGACCTGGATGCCGGGATAGATTTTATTGTCAACCAACTGCAAGGGCCTGGGAAGGATCACGGTTATCGGTCAAGTGTTTCGTGCCCACAAATTAGCATTTCGTGCGCACGTTATACCTATTTCGTGCTCTCGAAATAGTATTTTGTGGGCACAAATAAGTATTTCGTGGGCACATTATACCCATTTCGTGCCCATGAAGTAGTATTTTGTGGCCACAATTTATTTATTTTTTGGACCATGTCATCAGAGGGGCTCCGTAGGTTTGATCTCCACCAATAACAAACATATCGGACTCTTTAGCTGCCTAAATCCCCATTAATCAACTGAATAGTAGCAAATTACTTCAGAAAAAAAAAGAAGAAGACATTTATTGGCGTGGTACCATTTATGATCTGGTTTTTAGCAATATGCTTTAGAAATACTTCTGGGATAAAAATAGTTGTAAGTATCTCTTTCACTTTTTTTAACAGTGGGATGTGTTAAGTTGCTATTCCACAGCCTTTTTGCCAGTATGTGTAGGTTGACACGAGAGGCGGCTTCTTCAAAAATATTTAACTCGACAGTTATCTTACCGAACCTGAGAAAATACTGAAAACCCGTCAGCTGGTTTGTATCGATCTGCCCTTTATAACCTCGTTAGAAAGTAGTGACAGATGGCTGCGCAGTGAATCCTCTGTTCATCTAAACCAAATGCAAGGCAAACACCAACAAAGCAGAGACGCTCGACTGCGAGTGTGCATGCAAAGACTGCAAAATCTTGTAATAGTCATCATCATCAGCATCGTCTTGGTAGCTCACCTTGGCTTTGTTAATGGTGCAGTGCAGTGCATTGTTCTCCTGGTCATACAGCAAACTGAATTCCAAGGTTCCCAGTGTAGCTGTAAAGACAGAGAAAGAAGCAGGAAATTAGTCTTAATGGCACATAAACAGAGTTGCCGGGGGAGAGAAGACATTCAGCTTTGCTTTGATTTGATCATTATGAAGAAAAGAACGCATTTCAGCCACTAATTTCTTCTTCAACATGTAACTGTAAGAAGCAACACAGAAGTAAACATAAAAGAAAGCAGCATGAATCTGAGGGGGATCCAGTTATGTACTCAGGGCCACGCCTTAATCCTGTTAACAAAAATATTGTAGATTTCATAATCCCAATTTAGTTTGATTGGAGAACTGAGGATAAACCCTGGGCTAGCATCGTTTTACTTTGCAATTCCCATCCAATGTGGTCCAACCTGTTGCTCTTAATAGAGCAAAAACTCATATCCTGCTGACCCGTGAGTGTACTCTTCACAAGTTGACCACATTGTAAGAAAGTGAAGAGGAAGGGTGAGAAAATATGTGTTTAATTAGAGAAAGTGGAGCAGAAAGCTGCCAAGTGCAGAAAGCTAAAAAACAACATCTCTTCTTTGCAGGTGGGCAGCTCAAGTGTAAAGAAACAAAAATGCGAAAATCAGCGTGCGTATTTCAGTTGACGTCTCGGATAAAATGGGCTTTCTGGGTGAAGCAGATTTGAGGCGTGTGTGGGTTTCAAGAGACCTCACACACTCTAAATGATTGAGCAGTTCGTAAGGAATAAATTCAGTCACACTTTGATATTTATGAGCAGGGAACATTAGTTTCATGGTTTTGCAATTGTACTTTTAAGTATTACCACCTCCCCCACACTTTACCTCCTCTTACAAACTCGTGCTATGTGGGAAGAAACACAAGCCGGCTTTTCTAGAATGATTTTATATCCACGGATGGACGCACTGAACCGCAATATCGCAACTGCAGTGAGAGGGATAAGGAGTTTTGTATCGGCATTGTTGGGCTCAGCCAATAACATCTTGATTAAAGAACTGTAATGTCCTTATCACAACCACCGCCAGTCAGCGGCGGGACATTGGAAAAACAGCATTCTGGGATTTTAGACAGAAAAATTTAACTTTTGTTTAACCATTTGTGTTCACTGTTGATTTTTTTTTTCACTACATCATAAACTGTGGATGAATTTTTATTTACCCAAAACTGTATGATTATGTTTACACAATAATATCAGATAAATGAAAATTAAAAAAATCCACATTGTGTCTGAATGTGGATACTTTCAGCACACTTCCATGTGGTACAGTATCCACTCCATTGCATGGTTTGTGAGCTTGACAGGGTAGTGCTGTCAAACCGAACACACCAGAAATGACAACAGCAACACCTGATTCTCAGCTACCACATGGAAACACACTTATTTATCCAAATATTTAACCAGAGTTTAAGAATGAAAACATAAAAATGAGAAAAGTTGTGTAAAACAACTCAAAACTATACAGAACTCTGCTGAAGAATAAAAGCGGCTAATGCTGGAGACGTCCACATGTGAAAGGGCACTTTGTTCCACCGTCTCGGAGCAGCAACTGCAAACGCCCGATCTCCTCTGGGCCTCGGGACAGCTAGGAGCATTCGCTCAACAGACCTCAGGGATATAGAGGAAGTGTGCAAACTTAAATGATCAGAGAGTTTAAAAAGGTGCCAACCCATGCCATGCATATGTAATTTCACTTGCATGTGCCTTTTAATAACCGTGCTGAAGTGTTTTTGGACCAGCTGCAGTCGGCTAAACAGAGACAAACCGACACCTGAAGCAAACTATTGCAATAATCAACTCGAGATGACATAAAAACATCATGTGCTCTCTCAAAGTCTCTGAAACAGAGGAATAGCTTCCCTTTTGTGAGATAAAAGCAGCTAGTTTTAACGACAGCATTAATGTGTTTGTCAAAACTTATTTTGTTCCTCATCCTTAATCCTGGTCCAGTATATTTAGGTAAGGTTCACTGGTGTATTTGGTAGAATTATATGAGTTCTAGTTAAATATAAGGGTAGGCTAGACCTTCAAGCCTGAAAAAACATAAAGAAATTATACTTCGGTAACTGGCTTGACGGGTATTTCAAGCTTCACTATTCACCCACAGAGACATACCTCCAGTTAGTTACAGTATTTATCAGCAGTTCATAACATTTTTTATGTGGTTGCAATAGTGCAACAGCTATTTACTGTAAAAGATATGAGAAGAAATGAAAATTAATGGCAACTATTATGGTTCTCTTAGCTTTCTGTCGCATGTATATAATGGTAAATGGCCTGTATAGCGCTTTACTAGTCCCTAAGGTCCCCAAAGCGCTTTACACAATCATCCACCCATTCACACACTGGTGATGGCAGCTACATTGTAGCCACAGCCACCCTGGGGCGCACTGACAGAGGCGAGGCTGCCGGACACTGACGCCACCAGGCCCTCTGACCATCACCAGTAGGCAACGGGTGAAGTGTCTTGCCCAAGGACACAACGACCGAGACTGTCCAAGCCGGGGCTCGAACCGGCAACCTTCCGATTACAAGGCGACCTCCCAACTCTTGAGCCACGATCGCAATTGCGATGTTGCGTGCTAACGTTAAACGTAACCAGCATGCCAAATAATGAAATTAGTGTAATCCACGCTGCAGAGTGCTCTAAATTCTCAAGTTCATTTTTTTTGTCCGAAAAAGTATCAGCAATATATGATGTCAGAGAGCAGATATCACTAATATGGTCAATACTAGCTGTGAGGGGCAGCCAATCAGAGGAAAGCTGGTTTAAAGAAAGAGAAGCTAAAATGGCTTGATTCAAAGACTGTAGGATAAATAAAGACTACTATTAATTCTGAATTATGTAAAACTATTCCTGTAGAAGCCAAGAATAAAATGAAAGAGTTGGAAATGAGCCCTTTATTTTAAACCTGTTTACAGAATTTCATTTCTTCATATTTCTCAAATGAAGCTCGACTAAGCTGATAAGATGCAGGATGCTTTTCATTTTTTTAAACCAGCGGACAACATGGCTAGGATTGCTATCAACATTATTACCCCTTAAGAGATTTTGCTATCAATAGCTGGTTAGTTTCCAAAGCATTAAATACAACGAGTTAGGAATTAAGTTCCAGTTTGTGATAAGAGCACTCTCCTAAAGGGCAGAGAATCAATGCTGCTCCAGAGAAAGCTGAGCTCATCAGCAGTGACTGAGCCTCTTTACCGCCTCCCACCCCAACACACACAAAGATGAAGGCATTTAGCTTCCTTTTAGTTTACCGACATGATTAATGGGGATTGTTCTACAATCACTGTGTACAGTCATTGTTGCTTTGCGATGCCAAACTGCAAAACTGCCCACTGAAGCTTCGACTTGTGTCCACGACATCCTGGAAAATATCAGCCGATGTGCAAACATTAGAGGATTCACCAAATTAATGTTGCAGAGCTGAGCTAAATACGCAGTCAGTTTGTGCTTTCCTTTTACCTTAACTGTCAAACAGTCAACGTTTGTCATGTACTTTGAAGAAAATTTAAGTGATGCCATTTTGTAGCTTGAAAACGATGCAGCTGCAGTGATCTTAAACTAAATATTTTTTCATGCGCATACATTTTCTCAATTGAGTCAGGCTGTAACCTCCCTGTTTTTATCAATCCAAGCACTGATTTGTCAGATTGTTTCATTACATGGAGAAACATTCAGACACTGAAGGGACATCTGATGTACTTTTAATGCTGAAAAAGTCCTGGACACAATGTGTTTTTTTTTTTTTTATCTAAGAAGATTAAAAGTTATGGTTCTTCCCAAATATTAGTGTCACAATAAACACTCATCATACAACATATTACTTATTTGCACCATGGTTTGGTTTGAATATTTCAGAAACTGCTGATCTTCTGGAATTTTCCTAAACAACCACTGCAAAAGAGAAAGCACCCAGTGATCCACCTTTCTGGGTGACAGTGTCTTGGTGATGTCAGAGATGAGCTACAGCAGCAGACGAACACACTGGGTACCACTCCAGTCAATTAAGAAGAGGAAATTGCAGCTACCATTCATCAAAACTGGAAAACAGACTAGAAAACCATCGCCTGGTCTGACGAGACTCAGTTTCTGCTGTAACATTTGAATGGACACATCAGGAATCGGCTTAAACAACATGAAAGCGTCTAATGTCTCATGTTGTCGGACATATTTTCTTAGCACATTTTGGACATCTTTATACCAGCTGAGCATTTTTCCAATGCCACAGCCTCTCTGAGAATTGGCGATGACTGTGTCCATCCCTTGATCTGATTGCTGCTTCCAGCAGGTTAACACTGCATGTCAGCAAAGCTCAAATCATCTTAAACGGCTTTCTTTATGACACCGGGCTACACAGTATTATGAATTACGTCTTCAGTATCAATGAACTCGTCGTCAGTCACCAGATTTCAAATCAGCAGTAACTGTGTGATGCTGTCATGACCGATGAATGGTTCCAGAACATTTCTGAATCTATGCCAGAAAGAATTAAAGCTGATCTGAACGGAAAAACGGGCCCAACCTGGTATTAGCATGGCCGGTAAGTGCGCATCGCAATATTATTGAGAATAAAAACAACATTTCAAAAACTGAAATATTGCAAGTTAAAATAAATAACCAAGTCCCAGTTTTATTTAATTATTCATTTATATCCTGGTTCGATCCCAGCAGGAGACACGAATCCCTTTGGGGTTGTGTCAGGAAGGGCATCTGATGTAAAATGTGCCAACTCAAACTCGCTGAGCTACCCACTGTGACGACCCTTTGTGAATAAGCAAGCACCCAAAAGTAGCTTCATTTATTTAAAAAAAAAAAAAAAAAGAACAAAAAAAAGCCACACACAGGAAAAAATGTTTCAAAAAAAAAAAAAAAAAAAGAACACCAGCATGCATTTTTGGACATTTTTTCTAGATATCGCAATATCAACATCATCGTGAAATCTTCTACGAGTAGTGAAAATCGAGTAGTGTTACGGCCTTGTTTCCAAACATTTGTGTCATGAGTTATAATGAACACTTTAACAAGAC